CTCTGGCAGGCAAGTGTGGTGATGCTTGCAAGTGCCCTGCTATGATGGGTTGCTGTCCTGCTATGGCCAAGTGCCCCTATATGGCAGTCAAGTGTGGTGATGCTTGCAAGTGCCCTGCTATGATGGGTTGCTGTCCTGCTATGGCCAAGTGCCCCTATATGGCAGGCAAGTGTGGTGATGCTTGCAAGTGCGGTGATGCCTGCAAGTGCGGTGATGCCTGCAAGTGCGGTGATGCCTGCAAGTGCGGTGATGCTTGCAAGTGCGGTGATGCCTGCAAGTGCGGTGATGCCTGTAACAAGGCATCTTCAAGCTTATCGGGCTTGCCGGTAATGAGATGCCATGGCATGTTGGTCTGCCCTGTTATGAGACACCACGGTTCAGTTTGCTGCCCCATGCGCAAGTGTTGCAACCCTGCTGCTGTCGAGAAGCCCGCCTCTGAAGGTTCCCAGACCCCAGACGCTTCTCAGGAGTCTTGCTGCCAGAAGGAGCGTTCTTCTTGCCCTTGCTGCTGCTTCTGCCCAGCTGCTGCCATGGAATGCCCCTACATACACCGTGCGTGCATGTGCCCTATTATCCGATGCCACCTAATGATGATGATGGCCAATTGCCCTGCCCACTGTTGCGCTCCTGTTGCTGAGACCGCAAAAGAAGACTAGGCAAATGGTATTCATACTTTTCTCTGAAGAGTGTTATTAAAGACAATTAATCGTCGAGATGATCTCCGCGTTCATTATGAACGAAATACCACTTTTAAGGTAACGATATATTACCCTTACTTTGCCTAAAGTTGTTGCTGTTTACGCATAGCTTTTTCCAATCTCAATTAATGTTGTGTTCTTTCCAAATTGAATGTTTTCTACTATTCGTATTTACAGCCTTAGATCGAACATTCCCAAATACTATCTTTCCCTCTGCGGTTGGACTGTTATTATTCGGTCACTAGGTTTCTAGGGGTGACGTGGGCCACTATGGCCATTTAACGAGTAGTTCGAGTTCTGCAGCTATGTGTTTTACCAAGATAGTTCTATCTGTTGGTATGCACTGAGTCCGCATATATTAACAGCGTCGCTGTAACAGCGATCCTGATTATGTTACTTCCTAATAGCACAATAACAGCTATCATGTGCTGTAGTGGCGTCGTAGATACTGTTGGCTTATATAATGTATTATTAAGTCACCGGCTTTAGGAGTTGAAGGAGTTATATTCTTCCTGCTTGCAACAGCAGCACAACGCTATTCGTGGGTGGCTCTACTTTGCCGTGTGTGTGGGAGTTTATAGTCTAACGCCGAATAGGGTTTAGTTGGACTATCCATTCTGTGTCGTGTCGTTATGATGCCAGAGCTACGTAGTAGAGGTTGTACCATTTTTACACAATGTGGGACATGTTGTCCCCCTAAGCTAGTGAGCATCTTGTGGTAGGCATCGCGGAAAGGTATCTTTAGGTCAAGCGTGCATGATACAAAAAAAGTCAGAGTAGAGCCACCACATGAGCGCCCATCAAGATCATCGTTTTTGGCAGTTATTATTAATATACCTGATTATAAACTATGAGTGACCAAATAGTTCTGAAGCTTCATTTCAATTCGGAGATCGTCCGAGTAAGAGTCGCATCTTCTGAATGCTCCTCCTACTCTCAAGTGTGTTCTTACATAACCAGCACTTGGCCCCAACTGGCTAGCAGCGACTTCGCCGTCTACTACGTTGATGATGAGAATGATAAGTGCCTGTTGAACGATCGTTCCCTTGCTGATGCCGCTGAAGTGTCTAAGGAGATCGCCGCCAATAACAACAAGAAGACTCCAAGCATCGACTTGTACGTCGAAATCGCCGCCAGAAAGGCCGAGGAGAAGGAAGAGCCCAAGCCCGAGCCCAAGCAGCCTGCCGATTTCTTCGGTAACGTTGCCAGCTGTGACGTCTGTGGTCAGTACCCTATCTTTGGAATGAGGTACAAGTGCCAGACTTGCCCTGACTACGACATGTGTGAGACTTGCTACGATAATCGTACTTCTGAGACTCACGATCCCTCACATAAGTTCACTCAGCTGCCCGGTGTCCAAGTCCCGCCGATGTTCCCTTGGTTCATGATGAATGGTGGCTGCCCGGTTGCCGGCAAGGGCAAGGGCAAGGGCAAGGGCAAAGGCAAGGGCTACTGTGGCGACCGTGCTGCCGACGGTAGCTTTCCCTTCAACGCAATGTTCTTTGGCGGCAAGGGCAAGGGAAAGGGCAAAGGAAAGGGATGCTGCAGTGAAGATTGGTTGAAGAACCTCTGGGCCCAAGGGAAGGCCGCTGCTGACCAGTTCGCTATGGCTGCTGGGATTCATCCTGGAGTGACCTGTGATGGGTGTGGTGTCAGCCCCATTGTCGGGCTGAGGTGAGTTTGCTTCCCATCACTCTCGCTTAACATTGCGCATGTTCAGGTACAAGTGTCTCACCTGCCCTAACTACGACCTTTGTTCCAAGTGCTACAACAACGACAAGATCGTTCATGATCACCCTAGAGAGGACTTCTGGGGGATGACTCCCGAAGATACCATTGACCTGAAGAATGGTGATGAGCCGCCTAAGTCCCCATCTGCTGCTGCTGCTGACCAGCAAGAGCGGGAGAAGACCCCTGAGAAGAAGCAGCCTGAGCAGCAGGAGGCCTCTGAGAAGAAGCAGCCCGAGCAGCAGGAGGCCTCTGAGAAGAAGCAGCCTGATCAGCAGGAGGCCTCTGAGAAGAAGCAGCCTGATCAGCAGGAGGCCTCTGAGAAGAAGCAGCCTGAGCAGCAGGATGCCTCTGAGAAGAAGCAGCCTACTGAGGAGGATAAAGGTAGGGTTAGACAATTTTGTTGCTGTTGTATTGCCTGTCCTTCTTCGCCCCAGATACTGCGTCTGATGCTGGAAGCTGGACTCATGTCGATTCTCAAGCAACTCAACAACAACAACAACAACCTTCATGCGCCCAACTTGATGCGCAGCAAGATGCCTTAGAGAAAGAGGACGCCGTCAAGAGCTCAGCCAAGGATACGGAGGCAGTCTCTGACTCCAAGACTGACAACAAGTCCGCCGAGGTTCCGGAGACTACCCCTACGCAGACCCCCGGAAATGCAGCTGTCCCTGCCGAGTCTGCGGATGGCGCTGCTCAAGAGGCTGGCGAGCCGAAGGCAGCCGAGCCACGCTCTCGCGGCGGTGTAGAGGAGCCTCAGATCTCTGAAGCCCCAGCAGCGGCGCAAGAACAGAGCCAGCCTGCTGCTGATGGACAACAACAGGTGGGTTGTGTGGCGCTGCATTTCGGTAGCGTATTTTCGTGTCTTTTTTAGGGAAGCGGGGAGTCCACCGTGGAGACTATCATGAACTTGATGACGAATCTCGGATTGGTTCAAAACAGGGACGCTGCGGGGCAGTTCGTCCGTGATGTGGTGAGTCACTTGAACTGGCGGGTTTTGTTTCATTGTGGATTTCAGATGAGCACAAGCCAAGACATCACCAGTATGGTCGACCACTTCCGTACCCACGCCGAGGCCGTCCAAAACCAAATGAGACAAGCCCAGGAGCAAATGAGGCAGGCACAGGAGCAACTTCACCAAGCTCAACAACAGCAACAACAGCAGCAGCCGCAGCCGCAGCAGCAGCAACCCTAAGGAGTGAACCCGAAGAGTTTGAGCAATTATGATGATGCTTTGAAATACTCCTAACAAAGACGTTGAGATCTTTTTAAGTCATCCAGAAACCCTTTCCTTTTGTTATGGTCACCGTCGAGTGAATTCTGTTAGAAACAGGGGAATACCAGATAGCTGTTGCGTTATCGAGTACACAAAGATTGTCTCCTCCGAAGAGTGTTGACTCTGCAAATGCCAGTCTTCATCAAGCTCAAGTTCGACTCAGAGGTAGCCAGGTGGCGTATTTTCTATGTGCCAGCTCTCGCGGACGTCCGCCGATGCCTCTACGAAAAGTGGCCGCATCTGAGAGAGGACGCCAATGTTAAGTTATTCTACACCGACGAGGACGGTGATAAATGTCTGTTAAACGAGGACTCCCTGTTCGATGCGTGGGAGCTGGCTAAGCACCGCGTAGAGCACCAGGATGCTAGATCGCCGACTCTGAACCTGCTCGTCGAGCGTGGTACCTCTGCTATACCTCCAGCCGTTCACAGCCTATCTGGTTTGAATCTCAAGGGCTGTCTCTATGTGATACTGCCCATGTCTTATTATAACAAGTTGCTCGGCGACTCTATTATCAAAAATGATGTTGACGGAGGTAACCAGCTTCTGCCATCGCCATTCATGATAGTGTGTGCTGTATTGATTAATAATATGATCATTCCGAGGTGACCCCCTAAGGGAAACTGTAGCGAGGATTAGCGAGAAGGATAATGATAATAGAAATAAGTTGTACATTGTATGCATCTAAAAGTCATAGTAGATATTGATAACATCTAAATGAGATATATTATAAATGATCCCTTGCTGCTATACTATATGCTATGTGACAACGGGTGGTATCTTACCGTTACCTTAATGAGGAGCCTGAGCAATGCAAAAGACCACTAAATTGATCCGGGAATTACGAAATTTGATCCATGGGATATTGTGGGCATTCACGTACATCGGAATCATCACTGCTCAAAATTGCGACCATGACTGTTGCCACGTTCACTGGATACCTGCGAGGATGGGATAGCGGCTATCCGATAGCCAAGTGCTGCTTATTCTGTACAAACTCCTTATGGGTTTCTGTGAGATAATGTCGTTGAAGGAGGCGTAGCCTTGTAGGTGTTGTTGTAATAACGGGTTATTGATCGTCGGGGCGTGTGGCTCAACGGTAGAGCATCTGACTCCAGATCCGACGGCTGTCCGTTCGAATCGGGCCAAGCTCATTTTAGGCAGTAGGTCTGGTATAAACCCGGTCTTTTCAGATATCGCAGTCCTCGACTCTGCGTCCGATTCTGGCCACACCAGCTGCAGCAGCAGTGGAAGCTGGTTGAATGTTCCCGCTGAATCATTCTGACACCCCTAGCCATCCTCGTTGAACCTAAACGGGTTAGTCAATGGCCGTTCTTTGTTGTTATCTTCTGCGGTTCTCTTCGTGTACGTATGCTTTGTTCGCTGCGTTTAGATATCGGTTTGTCCGCTTTTCGTTATGCCGCCTGCAACCCACGCCCTTCTGAATGTTAATCCCCTACCGTAACTATTCGACTACATTACAATTTATTTCATCTGTGTGAGCATACCAACAGGTTTTTATCTCACCTGGCTCATCCACAGTTTGCCTCAAAAGATGCAATGTTTCGTTCATCTGCAAGTGAGGAAGAGTACACTCGTTCTTCTCGCCATCCTCAGCAATTGGCCGTGGTCCTGTTTTTTCTATCTTCGACCCACAAGAAAACGTGCCCGGCTCTAGCAGCCAGACCTTTCCAAAGTTCCTGCAATCCTCCCGTCGCTGCCATAAATGGTCGCAATATCGTACTTGGGCCCTAGGATGCCTTTTCCGTGATGAGGGAAATCTTTAGCATTTTGTTGTGTCGAAAACTGTCCCCCGGTATCCATGCCATTTGAACACATATTGCTGAAGCTCTATTTCAAGCAAGAGTGCATGAGGACGCGGCGCTCCTTCCAGAAGGACTGTACTTCGCAAGGTGCCGGAGTGTTGGGGAAAATAAAATCGTTAGCCGTTCTGGCCTGGCCGGAGCTGACCGAGAAGTCACTGAGATTTTACTATTGCGATGATGAGAATGACGATTGCGTGCTGCTCCCCGAGACCTGGGATGATGCGGTCTTAACTGCAGCAGCCGTCGGAGATAACAAAGGCGAGGACTCCGAACACCCGGTTGTCATTAGGGTCACCGTCGTCGTAGAAGATGATATTGTTGTTGCTGATGGATACGGCCAAGTGGCTGCCAAGACCGACACAGCGCGTGAGAGCGGTGGCGGGATTAATCGACGGCCTCGATTCGACGGTTCCCTGTAGTGGAGGGTTGGATAGAACAGCTTGGAATGAAGACATGCGCTAATTTCCGTATCTTTTGATGGAACCGATTTCCCTTAGACTTTTTTTTATTTTTCCGGAAACTCGGTGAAATTCCGGCAGATCTTAGCGTCCCTAATTATAACAGTGTGTGCGAGTTTATGGTCCAACACCAAAAATGGCTTAGTTGCACTATGTCTTACTGCTGCTGGCCGAGTTCATTACTTATATTGCTCCGTCACTGTATGGTTCACCCAGAAAAATGTAACTGGTGTTGAGAGATTCTACTATAGTGCCCATCTCCTATAGCGACTCGAGGCGGCGAGGAGAGCTCTGCTGAGGGAGTCACACGAGCGATGATATCATTAATAGATATTAAAACAGACACTCAATTCATCACAGACAGGCATTACGATAAGGCGGTGACCGGATCTATAAACCTGTTGGGGGTACAAACCCTTCACTTCGGAAGATTTTAGTCGTCAAACTTCGCAGAATTTTGGTGAAAAAATTCGCGGAAGATAGCATACAAAGTATCGCGTAGATCTGTACAAATGATGACACTATCGGTTGTGACATAGATTCCACAAAAACAAGTAAACATCTCAGTTAAGGAGGCGCGTCAGGAAATTTAGAAAGTTTTCTCATTTTGCTCAGTTATCAACAGTCATCAGCCCAGTAAGGTCGCCAAGCGACCTCGTCGAGTATCTTCTGTTCTGCCTACAAGGATCACTTCAACGCCGTTCGCTCGGCCCAAGCAAGGCTCCTCGCCTTCTGCGTCTTTCACCGCCGCCACGAATGGGGTTGCTCCGTTTGCAGGTAATTGGGAATGCACTCAACCTTGGAACTGCTACGGAAGGTTTGGACGCCTTGATCGGAACAGCTAGCGCATCTTCCAGAAGAATTAAAACAGATCGTCTCGTCGAGTCTATTGTTGACGTCTATGTGTTCTGGAAGGGGTCTCGGGAATGCAGGTGTTAGCGAGACTTCATTCGGATAAATTTTTACATCGTTTGCAGTGCAAACGGCTTCTTTCCACTTCACGCGCTACAACTCTGCGGACTTCAATGAAAATTCTATAGCCCAGGGCTTCTCCGTCGACAGGTTCGACCGTGCCCCTTCCAGCACCGCCTTCAATGAAGACAACCGAAAATAACAGGGAGATTGACCTGGAAGCCGCCGACAACCAAAGTATTAAAGTTTACTTTTCGGGGTCATTGATTTCGGTAGGTAAATCTACAACGGAAGAGAATGAAGTGCAGATGGAAATCGACAAGACAGTCGAGGATAAAGTTTAAACTGAGTTCCTCATGTTGTTATTTTCTGACACCTCTAGCTGTTTAGTGGGGTTATTCTGTGAAGGCTGGAATCTATCTAGCCTCAGTGAGATGAATTCCTCGGTGGTATAGTATACCTAGGTATAGTAAAATAGTCCTAGTGCGGATAGTCTAGATAGTATGGATAGTCTGACTAAGCCAATTTCGGCGTTGGACTATAAACTCACACACACACGAATAAACTCAAATATGTTCCGAGAGCAAAGAGGGCATTATGGGCTTCCCCTCTAGGGCCTCTTTATGCTGCCCCTCTGTAACTCCTCGGCTGGGAGCTCGGTTCACACAAGCGAACAGCTGCGAGTTGCGACCATGATTCTTAACATCGTACTTACTCCCTGTGAGTTCTCATGGAGTAGTTATCTTGTCTAGGACAGGTTCTCTTTGACATCAGTTTGGGCGTCAAAGCTGTGCCCTAAATCGACATCCTCGAATTTTTCAACTTTCCACCACTGAGTGGTTCGCATTATATCTTTTATTCAAATTCAACGATGAAAAAGTGCCTACTTTCTCTGAATCATTCAAGTCCGTTTTCTCGCTTCAAATTTGCTGCTAAAAAACGTCCAGTCATCTTCAGATCAAGTCTTCAATTCGGCAGCGTTCCATTTCACATGTCCTCCGACAGCGTGTCTGAAGATGGCATGGAGCCCGTCCTGGATGAGACTGCTCGTAACGTCGACGTTGTCATAATCGGCACCGGTCTCACCGAATGCATTCTTGGAGCGTCTCTCGCGGGGAAGGGGAAAAAGGTGAGCGAATTGGTGGGTTATTACAATTCATGTTTCTGAGATTTCTGAATGCACTTTGATACCGTCCGAGAGCATTACAGGATCGTCGGTTATACCAGGCCAACTAAACGGCCTGCCCTAGCACCGTTGAGCTCAAACCTCTCTCACACTTTGACTTGTAGTTGATGGAATTTCGTGAGACATATAAAATGTTTTTTCCACCACTGATGTGAAGTTCAGATTGTGGGCAGACCGTGGGGGTTATCAATTTCCTGGTCACACTTCTTTTACAGGATCGATTCTCGTGGCGCAACCAACGCCTTAGGTTCTCCATCTGGACTCCAATAACTACTATGGCGGATCGTCAGCGTCTTTGTCATTGAAGGACCTAAAGCAGTGGGCGATGGAGAAGCAGTTGGATGGCGATTTCGTGGCGCGTGACGATAGCAGTGAACCGAGTAAGTTGTCATCAAACCATTCTGAATGTGCATGAATAGTCGCTCAATGGTAATTTTTTCGCATGCCTTGCTCATCGATATATCGACCGTCATAAGAAACGCGAGGCGAAAAATCTACACTTTATTCTCAGGCGTAAGTCGGTGACTTAAGGACTTTGGCCTAAATCCTGGGCTTTCGTCCACAAACTATGGCTGCTTCAACCCGCTAACTCTGAAGTTTCCCAGAGAGGCCAATATGTTTGCTAACCGCCATTAACGAATTCTTGAATTGCAGATATCACTGATAACTTGTCACTCATTTAAGCTGAAATAATGAATTTCCAAAATTCTTCATTTTCTACCAGCCATTTTGTAATCAGAAATGTCCCTATACGGAATGAATCTAGACGAATTGGATTCGTTAGGATCGGAATGAATCGACGAGCAATCACAGAAATAAACCCAAAGAGGATTGCAGCCACGTTGCACGAGGCAACGATTGAAGTTAATGCTGCAAGGCAACTTTGTTCCTTGGATGAAGACCAACAACTTGCTCGAAAGTTTCGAGTCGAAACGGCACTGTTTGCCAGTCTGGCGCCAGATATTCTATCGCTCTCATGAAGGTAGCCCAAGATTTGATGGGACAAGATTGTCGCCTATGTGTCTCAATCGTATGCTCGTCCAAGCGCTCTCAGAGGCTCTCAGACGTGTGGAACCAACGGGAAGAGTGATTGGTGGTCTGTGCCGAGTCACGAACGTCCAGCACGTCAGGCTGACACAGTTCAGACTCGCGAATCGTTCCCTCATTATTATTATCATCATTCCTCACTCCCCTGGGGAATTAATGTCTGATGTCGTTCGTCCGTGTTTGCTCGCGCAGAGGTCGCAGAAAGCGGTCCGCGAAAACTTGGCTATAGCTTATGGCGGTAAAGCAGGCATCACTATCACATACAGGTTGAAATTGATGGTATCGATTTGATAGTGAGCCACAAGTCTCAAATTGAGACTCTCAATGGGCACTTAGCAATTGAAAACATGACACAAATGTGTACTGGTGATTATTGATTTCATTGAACTCATTCCAATGATTGTTGGATTCTCCTTGCCAAATGCGGCCTGCAATCCAGGCTTCAGGCCCTGGATACGAAGCTATGTGCATTTTATCCAAAAATTCATAGGTTTGGTGATGTGGCTTTTATTCGCGAAAGATACTTTCAGACTTCTTCTATCAATGTGGCATATGTCATACCATGAGTATCGCCGCTATCAGTTACGAATCTGGTCCGATGTCACCAATGGTACATGGTGGATCGCTCCCTGGAGGTGACGGATGAAGAGGCTCTCAGGGGTGATCTTGAAAGATACTCCAGCAGGTTCACTATAGACCTCAATCCAAGGATGCTGTAAGGCAGA